AGCCCCGGCACTTTAGTGACCTTTATTCGTATTCTTTGAAAATCAGGCCTCTAATGAGCCTTAAAAATAGAAAACAATACAAACCAACAGGGAAAAGGCACATAATGATGATGGAGATCCCAAAGCCAGCTTGGCTTCCATCAAAGTAATTAAGGGTAGTGAAGTTGGTGCATGGATGCAGCATCGATGCTTCCAGCTGTGCAGGCTGGGGACAGGGGTCACCTAAAAAAATATATATATAGTTTTTCTACCAGTATATTTTTGATTTAAAACAAAGAAACAATAATTCTGTTAAATCGTTACCACTCATCCATGAGAAGACGTTTTTCTGTAAATCAGTGGGCTCTGCGCTGGTGACAGCTATAAGGACATCTTGATATGTGACACTGCGGATTCTCCGGATCTCTTCATCTGTAAACAAACTAGAAATGTTCCCACAGTGAGAACAGATTTAGAGAGCAGCAACTGTAAAGAAGCTGCTCTATTAAAACGATGTAAAGTCCAAAGGATTACCCATTCTGTTTGTTCTCAAACCAGAAGCGGTCTCCGTTTCGGATGCGTTCAAACTGATCCAGAATTATTGCAGTAAAAACTGGTCCAGGACCATCAGTAGACTCCAGCAATCCTCCAGGGAAGAGCTCCAGTTTGGAGATGTCTCCGCCGTACTGCTCTGCAACATCGTGCAGCAGCTGTCGGTGCAGAACACACAACTCTGTTCAACTGCCAGAATTTCTTCCATAAATGAAACTGTTTTAGGAGGCCGTAGCTGTGACCTGTGGGTTGGTTCTGCTGAGCTCAGGGTTAATTTCTTCAAACGTCTTCACAGGCGGCAGGTCCAGCGCTCTTCTGGTCTCAGTGTAACTTTGCAGACCAAAGTCTCTCCCTCTCTGGATGGTCAATGCCACCAGATCTGTGCGGCTGAATCGCAGAGGTCCATACAAGTAATCTATCAAAGTCGACACTATGTTAGGATCATAATTAATAATAATTTAATATCAAACAGTAAAAAATTGGAAAAAACAGATCATAATAAAAAAAAAAAACCTCTGAGGTCCTCAACAACTATGTTATCTTCTTTTTCTGCGATCTGAGACGCCATGCCCATCAGGAGCTCATCAACATCTTGACCTGACTTCATGTTGGCACTCTAAAAAAAAACACATGTATATATTTAATCTTTTTTATCAACAAGCAGAAATAATCCAATGTTATAGGAATATATATTATTAAGAATAGAAGACATCTTTATAGGACAGAGGTTTGCAAAAGTAACAAAGCCCCTTAAACTTAGCAAAGGTTTTCCTCATTATCAATAAAATACGAGTGCGGTTCATTCCTATTGTTTAATTGTAAAACACACAGAATATAGCTATAGAGAGGAATGCTGCCAAACTTTGTGTGTTTTTATTAAACAGCTGTGCTGCTGCCATCAACACCTTTGTCTGTATCTGTTTGAGATCGTTTTTTTTTTTTCAGTGTAGTCCTGTTTCTCTGACTGTGACTAACTCTGTGAGCTTGTCTGCATGGCAGAAATGATTGATTAGACTGAAAAATGTAGATATTGTATGAAAAAGACTGCTAATTACTCTATTGGAGGGTATAATAAAAATATATTCATATTTACATTAAAAGTCATTTTTATATGTTTTTTTAATATGCTTTCCTGCCCTTTTCAGTTCATTTTATGGAATTTACCAAAAAAGTG